AACATCTTTAATATGCTAACATAAATTAATAAAAATTATTTTTATTTAAAAAGATATTTGAACCTCAAAAATACTTTCTTAAATTTTAATTAAAAAAACTGAGTTAAACTATATTGTTATATTTTAGGTTGAAATTATTATTACAATGTCCGAAAAAAAGGTCGTGATCCCACAAGAGGTTTTGGACAACACACGTGTCACAATGTTCGAGAAAAAGGGTTGTGATCCCACAAGAGCGAGCTAACTCAAAAAACCCGTCTTCAGTCTTCTCCATATTATTATCTCTATAGATTGATAAACAACTAGAATCATTCAATACAACGGGATGAACACGATACCAAATCAAACCTAAAGTTATCAACGAAAAATAGAGACGGTAAGAAAAATAGCTTTAAATAGCCAATACGTGAACTAACCTCCTCATAGTGGCAGGCTATAGCTGGAGAGGGAGAGAAAACTAACATAATCAAACCCTAAAATAAAACACAATATCATCTTACTTCGAACATAAATTAAAAAGGGTAAAAATGGAAATCAACAAATTTTTATATTTTTTTCCAAACATATATTTCAAAACACCAAATAAAAATTTTCATTAAATACTCGAAATTTTAAAGATTAAATTAATAATTATCGATTAAGAAATCAAAATTTAAAAACTAATAAGATAATTGAGTTATATATATATATATATATATATTACTTCAAAACATTATATTTTATTTAAATAAAAAACGCGTAATACTTTTTATAAATATTTCAAAATGGTTATTACGGTATTTTTAGGATAAAGAAAGTGAATATATAATGTAGATTAATAATATTTTTAATAAAAAAAAAAAAATAGAGCATGGGAAGAAGCATGAGGTTGGGAAGCGTGCTGAAAGTACACACGTGCGACGAGGTATGAAAGATTACTATAAAGAAAGAGAAGGGAATGAAGAAAGCAGAGGGCTGCACCACCACCAGTTACCCCAAATGCCACACAGAGACTGAGAGAACCAAAAAAAGAAAAGAACAGAGACTCTCAGTTTTCTTCTGTTTTCCTCTTTTTCTTTTTTCTTTTACGCTTTTTGATTTCGTCCAGTGGCGTTTGTATGTGATTGGGGAGCATACTCAAACACCCAGTAGGAACAAATTGATGCTCTGTTTCTCCGCACCTTTTTCATTCCATTGCTAAACTTTTTAACCGAATCCAACGGAGTGAAACACAGAACAGAAGCCAAAGAATTAGAACTTGTAACAATGGAGGATGAGATTGTGAATCAATCCAAGTTCAGGAGGATTTGTGTGTTCTGTGGTAGCAGCCAAGGCAAGAAGAGAAGCTACCAAGATTCTGCCATTGAACTCGCCCACGAATTGGTAACTAATTTATTTTCCCATTTCTCAGTTTATTCTGTTCAGATCATTATTTGCGTTATAGATTGTTCAACATTACTTCCCTTCATTTGAATGATTTGATGATACAATCCTTTGGTTTTCTCGTCTTCCATTGATCTTCGATTGAGGTGCCTTCTGATTGTGCACATGAGGTGTTTGTGATAATTCTTGAGCAAGAACTTCACTGTTTTGGCCTAAAACTTACCCCCCCATCTTGCACTGAAAATGAAAATACAAACAAAATGATCTCAACTCCATTTTGTAGAACTTCCTGAAATGATGATTTTGGTTGTTTTTTTAAGGTTTCAAGGAACATTGATCTGGTGTACGGTGGGGGCAGCATAGGGCTGATGGGTCTGGTCTCGCAAGCTGTTCATGATGGCGGTCGGCATGTCATTGGGTATCCCCCCATTTTCTTTTTACTTTTATCCACTTTAATTGGTTCTTTAAGGTTGTTTTTGTTCTTTTGTTTCTTCACCATTACAAGCCTTCGTACTACTGACCTCGTCATGATACTGTTCTTGCGCAGGGTTATACCCAAGACGCTCATGCCTCGAGAGGTATGTCTGTAGATTAGCAGTGTCATAAAGTCTCCAATCTTTTTCTCTGCTCATTTCGTTATATATATCAAAAGAAAGAGACTGTTCTGTTTTTCCTTATCTGATTTTGCATTTATTTATTCCAACAACTCATTCTTCTCTGTGATACTCTCCCCACTTTCCTCTGCTTTTTAGTTTTTTCTAGTTTTTTTTGTCATCTTCCTTTTCCTCTCTCTCTCTCTTTCATTTAATAGTTCCTTTTCCGGTACATTCTTCTGTGTGGCTCAAGATCTGCCTTTCCCATAATGCTTGGGTGAGCCTTGTCCATGATAATACTGCCCAAATAGTCAGAAGCTTGCAGCTCTCTGAACTTTTTAAAACCATATCAACCTCCATTGATAGATTAAATTTTTCAAATGTGTTTTCATTTGTATTCTTTCTTTTGTGTTTTTGAGAGATAGTTTTTAAAATGTATTTATTAGTGATAGATTATACATTTTTATAAAGAAGGTTTCATTCTCCTCTATAACTAATGTATGATTTCACAATGCACCTCCTTTGATGTCTAACATATTCGTTGGCACTTGTTACATTCCCCCATTAATGTGGAACCTCCTAATTTATCTTCTTTTGGAGTTCAGTGTCTTTGTTGGCACACCGATTTGTGTCTACCATCTTCAAAGCTTAGTCTCCTTACTAGTATACTATTCGGTGTCTGCTTTGAAACCATTTATAATAGGAAAAATACACCACTAGTAGATATTGTTTTCTTTAGACTTTTTTTTTCAGACTTTTTGTTAAAGTTTTTTAACGTGTTTAGTAGTTAGAGACCACTTTCTAACTACTAAACAAGCCTTTAAGACCACTTTCTCTCTTTCTAACCTATTGTACTCCATTATTTCCTTTCACAGCTGACTGGTGAAACTGTAGGGGAAGTGAAGGCAGTGGCAGATATGCATCAAAGAAAGGCAGAGATGTCAAAGCATTCAGATGCTTTTATTGCCTTGCCAGGTGATTATTATACAAAAAAGCCTGACATATCACATTTTCTACTTGCACTGAAAATTCTTGAGCATTATCGCAATCAAAACGTAGTGTTCATATCTCAGCGGCACCCACCTTTTTACTTTGGCATTCAACAATTGCCCAAAACTCCATCATGACTCTCCCTCAAAACTTGCCTCTTTTTCTCATTTTACTTCACTCATAAGTTACTATCTGACAGTCAGTCAAAGCTCTAAAAAGCCTTCTTCCTCTTTATCATCTTCCCTTTTGTTTCCTTCTGTAAATAAAAACATGCAATCGTCATCTTATTCCCCTTTTTTTCCTCCATAAATTAACATATTGTTCTGCTTTCGGTGCCTGTCTTTGTAGCCTTCTTAGTTTCACTTTTTTTTTAAAACAATCTTTGTCACCATCTGCATTAATGGCGCTGTGCATTTATTGCTGCTACGGCCCATCTTCTTCTTCTTACACTAAACCATGTGATTAATTAAGAAAGCATCATTGGCCCATCAATATCAGCACTGAAAAAGAGAGTTCCTTGAATAATATCATTTCAAATGTAGGGTAAAAACAGATATTTCCTTCGTTACCTCTTCCCCTGCCATGTAGAGTAAAAAAGACTACTTTGACTCGCTTTGCTCAACTGGCCCTTGCTTACTATGCCCCTAATTTCTTCTTTTGGATGGATCATCTGCATGATTTTGCACAAGCAGCTGCAATATTACAACATATGTAATGAATGCAGGTGGCTATGGGACTCTGGAAGAACTACTTGAAGTGATAACCTGGGCGCAGCTTGGGATCCATGACAAGCCAGTGAGTGCTCTTTCTTTTGCTACTTTTTCCAGTGCTGTGATAGTTACTGAATATGAACAAAATGAACACTGAAAACTGCAGGTGGGGCTGTTGAATGTTGACGGATATTACAATTCATTGCTGTCATTTATTGATAAAGCTGTGGAGGAGGGATTCGTCAGCCCAAGTGCGCGTCAAATTATCGTTTCCGCGCCATCAGCGAAGGAGCTAGTGAAGAAGTTGGAGGTATCATCAAATACCAAAACTACAAAACATAGTTTCATGAGTACCATAATATCGATTGTTTCAAGTTTTTGTGTTTAAAATATGATAGCAAATGTATTGTTCTTGAGCAAACTTGAGCTAGCTGTTCTAAACTTATATCATCAACAAAAAAGCTCGTGTTTGTGAACTCCATTAATCAAATAAAGAGTTGGTTGTTGTGTGCAGGAGTATGTGCCTTGCCATGAAAGAGTTGCTTCAAAGCTTAGTTGGGAGATAGAGCAGCTTGGCTACCCTCAAAACTGTGATATCTCCAGGTGATTTCTGAATTGAAGAAGATGATGATGATGAAGAATTTTGCAAATCGAGGAGTCTACTATGAAGTTTTTTTTTTTTTGTAAATTCGTTTATTTCAGTGTCATTGTTTGAAAGGGCTACTCCTACATTTAATTGTTGAAACTTTTTATATCCTTGAAAAGCTGTAAGTATAGGATTGTAGCTCTGATGAAATTTCCATCTTCAGTGGCAACTTATATATGTATTTTCTACTTTTGGGCTACCTTCATTTCATTACACTTCTTTCTTTCTTTCTTTCTTTTAAGGAAGAACAAGCCATTTTTAGCTTCTTTTGGAAGAGGATGGTTGAACATTTGAAAGGGGATTTTTCACGATAACTATTTGATAGATGGGATTTTGATTGGAGACAAGTAATATAACAGACACGAGCCACTGTTAGTAGACATTGTCTGCTTTGTTTAGTTACGTATCATTGTCAGCCTCAGGGTTTTAAAACGTGTCTACTATAGAGAGTGCCTAGCCCTACATCGACCAGTGTCTTGCACTGTTCGGTGACTCTCCACCCCTCCTGGGGGCCCAACATCCACGTTGACACACTGCTCGGTGTCCGGCTCTGATACCATTTGTAACAGCCAAGCCCATTTCGTGTCATCTGCCTCACGATGTTAAAATTTAAGAGAGATTTTCACATTTTTATAAGAAATGTTTCATTCTCCTCTCTAACCAACGTGAGATCTCATAACTTCAATAAGGGTCAAATGCATAGAGACTTGGATTCACTATTTCAAATTATACTAATTTACAGCTTCAAAAATCAGTCAAATTTTAGACATTAAAGATTTGACAAGGATGCTCGCTCTAAAAGTATAAGAATCCATGAAGAAGGAAACCAAAAATCCAAGCTCAAATATTCTACAAAAGCTAGAGAATGATTAGTTTTATCCATCTATGAACTAATTCATCTATACTCACTTACTCAACTACTCCCTGGCCCACAACACCACTTTCATTGTTTTGTGGAGCACTCGCAGAGGGTGTCTGTTCCTTTACATCATCTGCCTTTGGGATGCAAGGCTGTGATTTTCTTCTGAATCCCAGCTTTTTTGGAAGAAGGCTCCAGCTTTTCTTTGCCTTAACCAGCTTCTCAAGCTCCATTTTCATGCCTACACACTCCCTTTCAAGCTCTGAAACTCTCTCTTTTACATCCTTTCCACCACCCTCTTCTCCATCTTGTGCACTAGACTCCATTGGCTTAGAACAATCGTTCTTAGGAAGTCCTAAGTTTCGACTAGGATGCTGCGAGTTATCGAGATTGTCCGAAACAAAGAACCAACCAGATATCGACGTGCGGAGTCGAAGCTGCTCGAAGAAAAGAACTTGAACAATTACTCGAAGAGGTAGCCTCTCATTCTGCGCTGCATGTGTACTGGCTTCTAAAGAGAGCTTTTGGCAATTCATCAATCTACATAGTTGCTCCCTCTCTGAATCTGAAAGCCAAGGATGAGCCTGAACAAGTTGCAAATACTATCAGCCCACTAAAGTTTCAAAACCGATCTACACTGATATTCTATCCTTCTGCAAAGATCATCAATCATTATTGCATAAGGGGTTTAAGAACATTGATGCCAATATCCACAAGCTATAAATCAGATTACTTTTAATACCCAATTGGATTAAACACAAGGTGAAGAACATGAACACTCAGAATCTAGATGAACTTGACGTAAAAGCAATTGATCTTATGCCTGATGCAAGTGGGGAAAATAGCTCTTACTTTTAGGTACACATCAACGGCATGATAAATTCCATCATCCATTGATCTAGCATAATCAGGGATCACAGCAGCAAGAGAATGAAATTTTGGCAGCTTCAAGTTAACATCTGGAGCTACCTCTGCAAGATATCCATCCACCAGACTTGCCACCATCGTTAAAGGGGTCAGCGTATCCGTTCCACCGACCAACTGTCCCTCTTCGACTATGCAAGGAGAAGATGCAGTTGTAGCATGGTATATATACATGAAATGGTCCAGAATTCTCTGAATGCAATCTATGTCATAAAGAGTCTCCACTGTATACCCCATGTTAGGAATGAGTAAATCAACAAGCAAAGCTTGATCCAATTGACTGCCTATTTTTTTCTCTAGAATTTCCCTACATGATGGACTAGCATGCAAAATCATAGCAGTTCTGAGGAGGCCAATCAGGAAGTTGGTGGTGGTGACACCCTTTACACTTGGTAGTAACCCCACAATTTCCTCAAGCAGGACTCTTTGATCTACTTCAGAATTTGTAGAAATTGTGGCTCCTGAGCCAACATGGTTCATATCATTGAAGCTTGATTGATTATTGATCAAGGGGATATTCCTCTTAGCATAATGTATTAATGATGCAGCTATATTCTCAGCCTTCAATCCTTTAGCCTCAACAGACAAAATAAAAAGCTTATACAGGGGAAATCTAAGAAACGACACGTCCTCGTACCACCAATCCTCACCAGTAGGCTGTGGCTTCGTGGTCGAAGATATCCCATTCCATAGAACTGTCCCATTGGGGCTTTGGGCGTTCTCCTGTCCCTTCACAGGCCAATTGAACAATTGTGGGTCTGCACAAGCTTTGACAGCCAAGGAATCAATACATCTTGACACAATGTGTACCTCTTCTGCAAATGCACCAACTTCTTCACAAGTTTCAAGAGCTTTTACGGTATCAGTCCAATTGCCAAAGACCTCATTAAGAAAAACCTCTGTTTGAGAAATCAAATTCCCTTCTCCATAGTCTTCAGTCATCTGCAGATATTCTGCAGCACATCTAAGGCTGACTATATTCAAAGAAGTGAGCTCTATTTTAACATCATAGCAAAATTTAGCAACAAGTTCAAAAGCTTTAGCTCCACCAGGAATATCATGAAGTTTCAGAACACGACCGGATCCATCCTCACTGGGAAGCTGTTCTATAAGCTTCTCTAGAAACCCACTTTTCGAAAGCAAAGGAAACTGATGGAACAACAATTAAGCAATTTACAAAAAAAAAAAAAAAAAAAAAAAAAAAAAAAAAAAAAAAAAAAAAAAAAAAAAAAAAAAAAA